AAAAACAAAAAATTCGATCATGGATTACAAAAAAAAAAAACAATTCGATCATGGATTACAAAAAAATCGATCAAGTATTACAAAAAAATATATCATGGATTCAAAAAAAAAAAAAAAAATCCGTAAGGGACGCGCCGATTCACTGTACCGACTCGCCACTTCCGTACAGTGAATCGGCGAGTCACTGTACAGAATCGTCCGGTTCTCTCTAGAACTGGACGATTCCCATTTTTTTCGCCGATTCGATCCGTCCATGGCGATTCCCGAGTCGAACCGGGCGAGTCCAGTTCGACTCGCCATTTTTTTAAACACTGATTTAAACACAATGCATTTAAGGATGTTTTATCATGTATCTGTTATTGTCAGAGACTCGGCAACTTAAAGAAAAAAAAAGGCTGCAAGGGGAGGGGTGCTCCTAGTAATTTTTTTGGGGAAATAACATTAAATTGTAATAAAAGGACACAAAAGATATCCGAATGTAAAAAGTTCTTGAATAAATAATCCAGCTCAAGGATCGTTAAATAAAAAAAAAAATATTGAATTAAAAACTATAATTAAAAATAAAAATTAAAAGAGGAATAGTCCAGTCGTATGTCGTCTAACAGAACTTGCCAATTTCGTGAGGAATCAACTGATTCTCCATTCCAACTAGGAACTAGTTTGATCCCTACCAATCAGTGTAGGAAAAATCGAACCAGAACGGTTAACCGGATATGGGCCCAGAAGCGGTGGAACAGGCCTAATTGGTAAATCGGCTGGTTGATTTAGACAAGTCCCGGTAAAAAAAATGTTTTAAAAACAAAAAAAATGTAATAAAATATGAAAAGTGTATTTAAAGAATGATTAAACAAAACACATCCAAATGAAGTTGAAAATTAATGAAAAAATATATATTTAAGAATCGATTTGTGTCTAAGGATATTTTTTTAAATTTTTCAAAAAAGATAGGAAAAATGTAAAAATAAGTATTAATGGCCAAAACTATTTCCAATATTTTCCATAGTAATGAAAAACATTAAAATATGCATTACAAGCAAAAAATTTTTTTTTTTTTATATATATATAATTTTTTTAAAAAATACCAGTCGGTCACCAAAGCCGACCAAAACCTAACCGGGCTGTTACCGGTTCGAATAGAGTCCCTTTTGAGCCATCTTGAATTAGTTCATGGTGAAGCCTAATCAACTTAAGTTGTACGGTGTTAAGTTTACGGTAGTGAAGGGAAAGGAGGACGTGAAGGTTGTTTCATGAGTTGGAGGACGCATTAGTACATTTGCAGCGGCGGTATGCATAAAGCATTCATCTTAAAGATGATAATGATGATAATGGGCATCTATCTAAAAACAGTTAGAATCTAACGCTCCAAATGATAAAGAGGAAGCTAGGCACCCTTTATTTTAAATTAGAGGGTCCATGGCTTGACATAAAGATTTATTTGGGATCATAATTATAAGGTGGGTATACGATCGTTTTCCTCAATGAGTATTGGATTATCGATTGGTGGCATTGGTATTCCCTAAAAATGTATCCGAGTCTTGTCTTCAACTGTGTTTATGTTCAAGTGTGATAATAGGTACGAAAATGGTCAAAACCAGTATTGGTAATTTTTTAGATTTGATATCGTTAAAATATTTATTTATTTATTTATTTTCGGTAAAATCCGATAGCATTTTGGTGATAAGCAAGATTCTTGGAATTGCACACTTAACGATAGCATATCACCTAACCTGGAGCACCTGTAGGCCCCCAACAATATTGGGTTGTCTTCCCAATTATGATGCTATGGTGAAACAATGTAAATCTATTGATTATGGATGCCAAAGAGCCGAACCGAGCCATGCTTAGGCATGTTCAAATTAGGCTTGCATGTGTAGAGAACCGATTTAAGCTTATATTAATGAGTCAAGCTTGAGCTTGACTTAATATATTAAGGGAAATCAGAGTTGAGCTTGAATAGGTTGACTTATTTACTTAAAGAAAGCCCACAAACAAGCTTAGTCTAAGCCATA